TCGCCAACTTCCTCATGACATATGTACGCACCCAATGAACTTTGTACTCTACAAAGGGTACTATGACCATTCTAGTCCTTGGTCTTTGGCACTAAAGCATGCCAGAGGAAATGGTTGGCCTTTATATGTGTCACACTGAAGACGCGACCCTGATGACATGTAAAGTAACGCGATTCCGTCCCGGGTCATACCAGGGTAGGCGATCGAAGCTCTTCCAGTTACCAAAGCTTGGAAATTTCGCTTCGACTTCTTCCTTATAAGGCTTTGGGATAGTTCCAAGCATGAGGTGATTTCCTCATCTCCACTGGAGTATGCTCATTTTAGTACATGCCCATCATTCGTTTACTATCTGGTCTCCGAAAGTTGTCAAGACAGTAGTTTGTTTTCTCACCCCATACTTTCTTATCAGCACCATCTCCTCCCACTCCAACAAAGTACAAGTGTCATGTAGCGTGTTCACGGTTCACTTCACTTTATCTTGAGAGTTCGACGTCAATCGAGGTCTTTGGGCCGATAAATGCCTCTTGCCTTCATTTTGGATCATTGGACTGTAAAAACCGTAAGAGATTAGATACGAAGGCCTGGCAGTGTTGGTAGCACTTCCACCCAGACTCATTTGGTGCCAACCAGAAGGTTCCGGCAACTTCTCTGCAGCACCTCTTGGGCGGATGTCCAGTTCTAGGTCATTGATCCGTACTCTTACTTCCTTCATTTCTCGGTCGCTGTACTGGAATTCGATTAATGGGATCCTTTGCAGTGACTTGTAAGTAGCTTCGTAAAGCTCTGTGCGAATACCTAAAGGCATTTGGGAAGGTGCTAACCCCTAAGAATTCATGGATCTCGGCCATCAAGCCGTCCAAGACCGAACCCCGTTATCGTTATCGCGATCGTGATTAGCCGGTCTAGGATGCTTCGAGGCTTAGACTTGGACGATGAACCGACCATCGGCGAAGATTTCATCTTGCACCAAGGAAGAAGATCCGTTAGCACCGGTGGTCATTGGGCCGATTATATCTCAGCCCTGCTAGGCTATTTAAAGAGCCTCGTTCGAGGGGAAAACTGTTTCGTCGAATAATCATGATACCTCATCACTTTTAATGGCTTTTTTTCTCATCATTCTTCCTAAGCATCAATCAAAAGGAAACTTCACCCACGCAAATGCTCATTAGTGAATAAGAAGCCTAATAATATGCAACTCACATTCCAACAAATCATTACCAATATTACATCCGAGTTCACGTGCCCTTTTTGAGCACTTATTCTATTCCACGAAATAACGTTTTCAACATAATCCCCATTCAGTTATCCAATGAAGTTCTCAGATTGGGGATAGGTAAACGTTTTACGGTACCTACAAAACATATCGTGAAATAAGAAAACCCACTGGCTAAAGTTTCCAGTGTGATCGGATCTTCTCAATCACTCCAATCTCATGCTATGAGGCGATGTTAGCTGTGAACATCGCGTCCGGTAAGAAATGACCATAGAATCACGAACACAAGGGTGGATGGGGATAGTGACCAGGGAAAAATGACGAAAAACTCTACCGTTGATCAGCTACCACAGTTGAGCCATGCATTCCACTTACTCCGAAATAGATAGGTTCAAAGATTCATTCATATCACACCACTCGATGAATTGCGGCGTATACGACTATATTTAATGCCCCTATGTATCAAGCAACCGGCCCGTAATAGTAAAAGTTTCCCTCAACGGGTCTGGCTGGGTCGTACGAAGGGTTGTGTCGTTGGAAACTAGCGAGTGTAAAATGCCAATGATGAGTAGAATATTCGGGTCGACTATGAAGAGGTTGAAGGTTTTCTGACCTCTCCCTTCTACAAGTTATTTACTTGCCATGAAAAGTCCCTTTTGATTCAATCTGGATATTTGGTGAGGGTCAAAGGAGCATGAAGGTTTCCAACAGAGTCCTTGATTCTGATAATTAACCATTCATAAGTAAGTACCGAGGCACTTCAGACAGCAAGGTCCCCCAAGTCTGATACCTCCCGTTTCTGCTTCCGTCACTATTCGTAACTTACGTTCTTTTTTCAATTTCCGTGCACATTCCCGTATGATTCCGTGTTTGCTGTGAGGCGGCGCGGGCACGCTCCGCCCATCTCGCGCCCTGCTCGACGTTCATTTACTGCCCGAGCTGTTTTCAGAGATGGTGGCAAACGGTAACACTTTCCTCTTCACTTCGGAATCCGTGTCTGAAGGACATCCGGACAAGATGTGTGATCAGGTATGACGGCTTATTAGCACAGCTTATTACTATAAGGAGCTTCTGGATGGGGAAGATATAAACTCGGAAATTTTCGAAGTTTTAAGCCATCGTTGTATTTGAAGTAAGGAGGAGGTTTTTGATGTAAACACTATCCTTAATTGCTTTGGTGCTGTTCAGATCAGAAATCTGCGCTGTCTAAGTTAGCTGGAAAGGGAGGAGGGGAACTTTGTGATGGAACTATATTTTCGAATTGGTGATTGCGAATGTGGAGTTTGTGGGGCTTTCAAAATTGGGTTATCCGAATAGCTTCAAGAAGTGCGAATTCCGCTTGCTGACTATTGTAGAATATCGATTTGGAAATCGGGTAGAGTTGGCTAGCCATCAAATGGGAAAGTACTAAATTTTTTGTGAAAATTTTGAAACTCTATTGGGCTGTATGCCATTGAGAGTTTGGAGATACTTCGGAATACTAGCGTAAGTGGATTTTCTTTATTTGCGTAATGCCACGAGAATTAAAAGCGATTTGCGAATAGTGTCAACAAAATCCAGCTATTTTCGTATCGATCGTCGGGACGCGTGTTCAAACCACGTGTGGAGAGGACGTAGCAAGGTCGTGGCTTCGTCATTGTGTACTGGCAATACAATTTTAATCGAATTAGTGTCGAAAGTTAAGGAATGTAGTTCTCAATTAAAGCAATAGAGCATTTTGTACGGAACGTTTGTCTAATAATTGTTGCTAAATTTTTGCTTAGTCTAAATGGATGAGTAACCAGGGCTTGCATAGTATTTCCTGGATTTTAGCGTTAAAAATATTTATGGAGCCTTGAAATTTGCTTTACCAGCGATTTAATAGTCATTATTTCAGATCTCTGATGCAGTCCTCGATGCACATCTGAAGGTGGATCCTGACGCAAAAGTTGCATGTGGTAGGTGTTTTGGGATGAGTCACGAAATGGCTTTTATTGTTGGGCTTGTTGCTTCTACAGTAAGCGTTTTCAAATGCATCGTTGTTAAGATGGCATTCAGACAGTACCCATTATAAATGCGTTCATTCCTTTTTATGTATGCCATCGGTGGAAAACTCTTAAGTGCTTCTTAATATTCTATTCGCTTCTCCTATGATATAGTGTGGCATGCGATTGTAGAAGAACTCAGAAATTTTTTTATTTCAGCCTTTTATATTTTCCTTTTAGCGTCTTAATCGTAATGTAATCTCCATCGCGTAATGTATTCTCTAGCGTTTATGTATTATTTTTCAAACTAATTGAGGGAAATCTTTAGGAATAGGTAATATTGTATGAAAAGGTTAGTGAGTAGTGTTGTTGTCAGTTACTGGTTCATGCTATATCAGCGATCAGTAATATTTTGTGTTTCAGGCCGTCATGGCAAATGACAGACAGTGCTGGGTGTGCTTGTCACACACCTGATTTATCACCCGTTTAACAGTTGCTTTGCTTACAGAAACGGTAACTAAAACGGGTATGATCATGTTGTGTGGCGAAATCACATCTAAGGCAAATATCGATTATCAAACGCTCGTTCGTGAAGTTGTCAAGAAAATCGGCTACGACGATTCAAGCAAGGGTTGGTGATTTTTTCCATTTCACTTGAGTCAGTCGATGGCGGCGGGGCGTTGCGGCGTGTTACTGTGGTGGGTCCTTTCGATATTACGTGAAGGACACTTCAGTAAGCAATATATTCTTCTCACGTAGTAGAAAGAAGGAAGATGTTATAAAGGTCAAATCTCATGCGAAACGAGCAGAGCTGTTTTTTAAAGCAAATCGGTTTTCAATGCGTTCACATAGGGTGGTCTTATGCGAAACAAAAAACGTTTACTTTCCTTCATTCGCGCTAATCTTCAAAAGAGTTTCTGAAAAAGATTTCCACTCAATGCATGTGGGAACGATAATTGTCTTTCGCAGTCTAGCCCCAAATTTTTTCGTTCTCAGTAGCAAAGGGTTTGAGAATCGCATTAGTACACTTGCTGTTTTAGAATCGTTGCAGTTTCCAAAATCTTTTGTATATTTCTGACACGAAAAGGGTTGCATATGTGAAAAACATCGTGAAAAAAGGATTTCTGTTGGTTTTTGGGCCTCAATGCCATCAGCCCGTTCTGGCCCACATAGGGGAATTTTGATGGCACTATGACACTAGTTCCGTGACCGTTGCTTCCTTTATCTTACACGATTTTGATAACCCCATTGTTCCAGCGTAATCTCTGGCCAAATAATTACTTGTCTCAAACTGATAGCAACGACCCGTACGCTCACATGGTCTGCCTTTAATTACTCAATTGAATCAAAAATACCTAGTGGGTCTCTTGGTATGTAGGAATCTATGATATCTTGCATTATTTTAACGGGGATATTTTTCATTGTCTGATATTTTCTATTCACCTAGTTTGAATCCCAGAGATAGTGTGACTCTCTCCATATCGTTTTGGTTTGGTGGCACGAAAATGTGAGAGAACTGAGTGGCTTCATGGATCATATTGCTAGGAGGGTCATAGAAAACCTATCGGGAAACAGCGGGAAAGCCCAGTAGAAGTTGATTTCCCTCTATGCACCCCCAGGAGTGAACGAATGATCGCCTATTATTAGTCCTGCGAAGGTGAAGGTTTATCAAAATCTTAGGAAGAGAATTGTGCCATTATTTCCAAGATGAAATTACCATGATGCTCAACAAAAAAGTAGGCTCCGTGTTGGGTAGGTTAGCGATGTTTATTTTCCGGGTTTCTCATCATTTGGAAAAAAACATACACAGAATTAAACGCTATAGCCTAGCTCAATCTGTCTTTATCCTGCGGACAGGAACGAGGGAGAGATTCGTAGGTTGTCCAGAGGTTTCACCTTCGGAACGATATGAAATATAGTATGATTTAGCGGAACGTAAGATTAGTAAAATATATTTCAATCAAACGAAATTGGCCTCTGTAGGTGTTGCGTTCCTCACATGTAGTGCGCCTAAGCCGGGTCGCTCGGAAACTATCTCGTGATCTGTTCGTTTCTACAATATGCTTCTTCAGGTTTTGACTACAAGACTTGCAACGTTCTCGTCGCTCTCGAGCAACAGAGTCCTGAAATTGCGGCTGGTGTTCATCATGACAAGAACGAGATTGATGTCGGTGCAGGAGATCAGGTAGTGTATCGATTAAATACCTAAACGAAAATTATAGTGAAGGTCATTGCATGCTGCCTGAGTTTTTCACTTTTAGGGTATCATGTTTGGTTATGCCACGGACGAGACGGAGGAAGCCATGCCGCTTACTCTCCAGCTAGCCCATCAGTTGAACGAGAAGCTTCATGCAATGCGTCGAAGTGGTGAGCTTCCTTGGGTCCGCCCTGATTCGAAGTCTCAGGTATGGGATGAGCTTGCTTGGTGGTTATGTTATTCGTTAGTGAGCGATACGTGGTGGATGTTGCGCTAGAGCGATTTTTCAAGGTGACAATCGAGTACAAATTTGACGGTGGTGCTTGCGTTCCTGTTCGTGTTCACACTGTTGTGTTATCCACCCAACATTCGCCGGATATCTCTTTGGAACAACTGAGGAAAGAAATTCTTGAAAAGGTAGTAATAACACATTCGATCTTCCTTTCTAGAGAATTTGAGCGCCCTATGTTCAGGTTATTCGAGCTGTGATTCCTGCACATTTCCTTGACGATAAGACTGTCTTCCATCTGAATCCATGTGGTGCCTTCGTGATTGGTGGACCAATGGGAGATGCTGGTCTGACTGGGCGCAAAATCATCGTTGACACGTACGGAGGTTGGGGAGCTCATGGAGGTGGTGCCTTCTCCGGGAAAGACCCCACCAAGGTAAGCTGCCGATCTTCAACTACTTGCTTCCCGACAACTGTTGGTGAATGTGAATTTTTCAGGTTGACCGCTCAGCTGCGTATGCTGCACGATGGGTTGCCAAGTCTCTGGTCAAGTCTGGCATCTGCCGTCGTTGCCTCGTCCAAGTATCTTACGCCATTGGAATCGCCGAACCCCTTTCCGTGATGGTGTTCTCCTTTGGAACTTCCGCTCTCAATGAAAGCGAACTCCTCCAGATTGTCAATGATAACTTCGATCTTCGACCGGGAATGATCATTAAGTAAGGTTTTTATATCTTCGCGGATAGTCTCTTCTGTTTCGGTCTTAACTTTGACGTTCAGGGAACTGAAACTCAAGAGGCCCATCTACGAACCAACCGCAGAGAATGGCCACTTTGGTCACAAGTCTTTCCCTTGGGAACAACCTAAGCCATTGAAGATCTCACCTGAGCTTCTCAAGAAGAGTCACCAGCCGGCTCGTTCAGAAGATGTCGGTGCAATTGCCCACTAAGTTTGATTATAATGTATTCTTTGCGTTGTCACATCTCTAACAGAGCTCTAAACTTTCTTTTTTCAATTTGTTGAGAGTCAACCGGTAACCGGTATGATGTTGGTTTTCCTTGAAGATTGTTTGTGTGCCTAAGCACACGGTTGTTTCGTCAAACCTGTGATTTCTCGTCTTTGGTGAATTAAGGCTTGGCCGTTTTTTGTATTTTGTTAAGAGGTATCTCATTTACTGAGAGCTGGTTCCCTATTTATAGCTTGGTAGGAGCTCATGCAGCTATTAAGATTATCTGTGTTCACAGTTTAAGTTAATTGTCGATTACGTGAAATGTGGGTTTGAAAACAACACCTAATAAAATATTTATATCAATTCTTCACATTACCGTGTTCTCTTGAAGAATTCTACAAAAGGGAAGAATGTCGCGCTAGCAGACATTAGGCTTGCTTAATTTAGCAACCAGCAACTGGTGGAAATGTATGTGGTGGTACACATTAACGCGAATAGCTGAGCTAAGGATATTTGTGAAGGACTGGGTTCGCGCTAACAAGCTTCACAGGACTCAGGTGGAACTAGGCAACATAAAATTTTGCAATTTAA